ATGTACTACTTAAAATAATTGAAATTGTATAGCTTTTCTGCAAATGCTGGCAGCCAACATTAGCACAACGGCCTCGTTGGTCTGTTGGTAGTTTTCTTGAATTCTCCGTTGTAACGTTCGGTATTTTTATTTTAAACATTATGAATAATTTACTATAAAAAAACGTTCACAGGTCGATAACCAGTTTTGAATAATTAATTTTCAACATAACACTGAGGTTAGGTATTAATGCGAGCCTTAGTCAACCGCACATTACCTCCAAAAATAAAAAGTAATTTTCTTCAAAACTAGTCGACGACCAGACGAGAAACGTTCAGAAAGTTTTACTTAATTTAAAAAAAAAATGTTTGTTACCATTGCCAATTAGTTTCAAAAGGCGATAGAGCTAATTTTAAATCAAGCATTATATTATTGTTAAATAACATCAATAATATTTTTTCCCGAAAAGAAAGACACACACACACTGTTCGACATGTACACATACAATATATCATATTGTATTCGAATCTAATATAATACATAAAACATATTGGGTCCAGTTAGGAACGCCTCGTTTTGTTGCGGGTAATATAATTATTATACTTGTCATCCTGAAAGGGAGGCGTCGACCAATTATTTATAACCCCAAGCGAACTTTGGTTGGTAATTTTTATTTATTTAACCAGTTTTTTTTTTTTGAAATAATATAAATTCGTTGACACAGATGAGATTTTGTACAAGTTATGTAAAATAATAATTAAAAAAATGCATAATATAGGTAGGTAAATGTGTAATATGTCACCCGTACAGTGCATACACACAGTTCTTATAGCTACACCTAGCCTAACCTGATGTGTACTCGACCAAAAAACATGATATATTATATAAAAAATAGGTAGGTAATAATGTGTATACTTTCAACTAAACGCTTTGATATGTTAATTTGTAAACAATGCACCTGACTTCAATACTTTCCTACTGTGCTGGTTTGTACTGTGTTTGTTTTGTACTTAATTAAATAAAGATCCTAAGTTACTTAATTGAAAATAAGAATGATATGACCATACAAATGTACATGTTATCTAAATTAGTAAAAAAAAATCTTTGCGTTATATATTTTTATAAGTTTTAAGGCATTTAGTATGACATTTTTAATTTATTCTTTTGTTCTTTATAGATCATAATTTTTTTTGCATTTAGCTAATACTCACCGACCAAAGTTTCCAAGTTAGGATCCGTACTATTATTTGTTATACTCCACAGTAAATATTAAGTGTAATAAATAAAATTTCACTTGGAACACGGCGTAAGTATACTGTGATGAACGAGCTCACCAAGTTGTACACAAGTGATGATAATAAGGTATGCAAATTATAAAGCCTACTAAAGACTGATTCACTTGCGTCCACGACCAAATAATTAAAGAACAGACAAATGAATAACACTCGGATAAACATATAATAAATCAGAGAGAACAATCTATATTATCGAAATATCATGATGTGTACACGTTGGTTGTTATTGTGTAATGTAATTGAATTAATTTTATAATAATTTAAATAAAACAGTGTTTTATTAAAACATGTTAGACTATATCATATTAACTATAATCTACCATATCGATATGAAGACGGTCCATTTCTTGAACACCATTCGGAGGATTAAGTTCGTCGATATATTGTGTGAGTGACCGAATGACATCAAAGTTGACATGGTCAAAAATCAATTCCAGATGAGCCAAGAAAGTCTTCGCGTTTCCCAAGCTGTAGTATTCAATCCATGTAGGATTGAACGGTATTTGCAGAGATTCCATTTCTTGGTCGGACAGACTCGTGTATTTCACTGTGAATTCGTTTCTGTCCAAACGGAACCGATCGATGCGACATCCGAAATTCTGGCATAACTCCGCCAGTATTGCAGTTATATAGCTGACCACACTGTCTATTGGTTCTATCCCGTTGATGAGATTTTCGATAGCGCCAAGCAAGGTGCTCACATGGTGATCTCCGGACAAGTGTAACATGGCGCCAAATCGTACAACTACACTGTGCCATTCTCGTGCGTAACGCACAAAGGAGTCCCGAAATTCGTCGCCAACGCTATAAGGCCGTAAGTATGCCATGTGTTTCGACGACAGGCGAAATATGATGATTTTAAAAAATCATTGCACGCGTTGTAGTACGTTTTGATGTGCACGAGTTTGGTTTGTTTCCAGTCCAGGGCACGCGCCGAGTACCATGTCGTATTCAGTATTGGGCCAGTTTGGTTCCACGTTATCGCCAAGTTGTACACGTTTTGTAAGTCGTATATGACCACGGGTTTGTTGCCCAGGTTGTACATCAAAAGCGAACGGGTCTTGGCGTTTAACTCGAGCCTCTCCTTGACCACAGCATCACCGATCAGTGCGTTCCTTTCCAGCTGAGCGTTGGCCCGTTCAACGTATTGCTTCAGTATAGTCGCTGTGTAGAAATGGAATCCGAACTACTGAGCTGACCCTAAGACGCTTCGATCGAATGAATTGCCTTTGCGACACCCGGCCAGGTCATCGTCCAGCTTTTCGATGACATAGCTGAGGGTTTGGTTAATGTATGCATAGTTGTTGGCCGAGTTTTTCGTGTCCTTGTAAAAGCCGGTCATCATACTGCTAAACAAATGTAGTGCCCACAAAGCACCGACGCGCATTGCCCCGTTCAAACCGAGCAGCGATACTATCTGGGATCTCACTACCGGGTAGATTTGCCACATGACACAGATCAACGATTTTAATTCTACATTATGGCGTCTGCCGAGTAAAACCCTGAATAGTTGCATTTGTGTACAGCCGCCGAATAGGTATCCACATTTCAATCCTCGAGGAGCTGCTGATCGTTGGGATTGTTCGTATACGTGTACCCGGTTTCCAGTGACTGTGCCGGAGTGTAAACCAACGATATTATTATCATAGATATGACCAATAGTCCAGAGCGCACCATTATGTGTCTTTAAAAGTCGATATTAATTCAACCGGTGTATAAGTAAAATCAATTAGATTTGGTTCTCGAGGTGACGAAATGTATATACTAACTGACTTTACTATTGAAATTACATAGCAAATAGACGACTATTTTTCGATGTAGACCGTATTTGCTTGGACCATATTTTTTTTACCCGTCAAACACGCGTAGGTATAATATATATGTTTTTGATTTAACTTTGACATTTCAGCAGGTGAATTTCAGCTTGCCACTGCAAATTTAGTACGGGTAGGCGTATTACAATTCGTAATTCGTGTAATTTGGGTTTCATGATAAACATCAGCGAATATTATTATTTAAATTAATCTAATTGTGTTTTACTTCCATACTAAGGTATAACAATTACGAATTTAATATCAGTTCTCAATTTTAGTCAGCCAGAAAAAATTTAAGTAAAAAAAAAAAAATTGAATTTGTGTAAACTAAAAGTCAAAAGCGGTACTTGAGCACAAAACTTAATTGTATCATTCTGCATAGATCTTCATAAAATCGTTTTAATAACTCTCCTACAAATATCTCATAACGGTTGACCCAACCTAACCCGACCGGATCCGGACTGTGCGATTTATGATTGAGAAAAACGACAATAGTATTGTCTCGTACCTATAAGAATTTTCAAGACCGGTGTGTTTTATGTGTTGCTATAAAAACGCCTCCTGTTAAACGTGTGCACGCAGCTGCTGTGTGTGTGTGTGTGTATGTTGTATTTGTTATGCTTTATTGGTTTTTTCATATGTACACATATACAGTAAGAAAACCGCTTTTCTCGCGAGCCCGAGGAGGAGTTGACTCCGGCCATTTTGTCTTATACCCTCCCACAGCAACATCGACACCGCACGCTCGGTTAACGTTATTATATTTTATAAAATATGAACTATTATTGTTTATTACAGCGGACACGACCGTTGAGATTTACAATACGGTCTAAGCTGTCAGGACCGCTGGACCTGTTGGATATAAAAAAAAAAACAAACCAGACAGACCGAATAATATTATATTTATGCAGGAAAAACTATATTGGGCATTGTTATTATTATTATTATTATTACCGACGATTAGGCCGAGTTGGGTTGCTTATGCAAGCAAGAAAATATTAGGATAGGCATATGTATATACTTCCTATAGTCATACTAGGGGGGACACGATCAAACGTATATAGAGTGGAGCAATAACCGAATAAAATATATTTAAACGTATTAAAAAATATATCTTTAACTAGAAAACATGTTAACAACAGCTGTTAAGTTTGCGGCCTAACCTATTTTATTAGCGCCATTATAGGGACAATGTACGACAGTTTGACTTTGAAACGTTTTTTATTGACTTTCAAGTTCCAAATAGATTTACTTGGTTAGGTTAGGTTTGGTTAGGTTTGGTAAGGTTAGGTTTGGTAAGGTTAGGTTAGGTTTGGTAAGGTTAGGTTAGGTTTGGTTAGGTTAGGTTAGGTAAGGCGTTCGGTTATTAGATAATTAGACAACAACAACGAGAGATGTACGATATAGTCGTACACATTTAGGTGTGACATATTTTGGTGTGGCTGTTTCTCCTATTCACGCCGAGCTCGACGGGGTGACCCGAAGATCTTGGTCGTTCGTCGGTAGTAAACAGCTTATATCTATATACTCGATACGCGAGTAAGTACAAGCAAGTAGGATAATAGCGGTGAAAATGGATTTTTTTTCAAAAGTTTTTGCGCAGACGAGCGAAATTTCAAAACGCGCGCACCGTCGCCCCGGTCGGACCGAAGCGATTCTGCCGACTGCTGGCCGCTATATCTATGATGATGGTTTTGTGTGTAGTGTTTTTTTTTTTTTTTGTTTGTCAAGTATGTTTTTTTTCCCGTTTCCACCCGCCCGTAACGCCCCGCCACCTCCCCGCGAGGGCCGCGCCGTCCAATAGGCGATCGATGGGCGTCGTCGACAGGGGCGGGGCCGCGGTAAGGCTAGGTGGGAGACCGCGGCCGGCCGTTGTGGGCATGGACGGGCCGGGCACTCTGGTTCAGTTCAACGTTCGACGCCGGTCGCGGTCGCACACACACACACAACGGTATAATAATAATATTATTAAGTATATCAAAATAAAATAAATACAATATATATTATTATCATATTTCGGTTTTTTAAGTGCCGCTTTTTTTAAAATATTTTTTTTTGATTCGAGCATTTCCCTCCACCGCCCCTCGTTCGCCCGTCGCGTTTATGGTTTTTTTAGTTTTTTCAACCGTTGAAATAAAATTAAATTCCGAATCGGTTTGTGCGCAATTTTTGCGGGTCGGTCGGTCGGTTTTTTTTTGTTTTAAATTTGGTTTTGCTGTGAAGTATATAATATAACACCTACTTGCTCGTATCGGTGTGAACAGAGGAACATGTCGGCCGAATCGTACCGAACGGCGGCCAACTGATACGAATAATTCACAACCTAACCGTAACCGCATAACCGCCCAAAACCACAATAAGGATACCCGTAAACGTGAGTACAACAGTGTATTATTATACGGTACAATACGCATAGTCCATCCCAGCTAAGAACGGTACAGGATGACTTACATGGGTTGCCTGGCAGAGATTTAGACAATACTTTGGTACAGAAACTTTAGGACTATAGTCGACAAACGCATAGGTATAGTTGTGCTGTTGGCGGGAAAGTAATTTTAAAACTGTTTTGGAAACTCTATACAAGTAATTTCCATACATTTTTGAATATTATCTCATTTAATAAAAGCAGGTATACACCCCTAAGTCTTAACTACACCCGTATGATGCCATGTAGAACAATGAAAATTGCACTTTCTTTGCCACAAATATAAATTTTACAATACATTTAATATGCAAATTATGTACAACGCCAGGTCTGTGTCTTGCAAGGTTGGAAGTTAGAAAATTGATAATCATGTAGAGATTAAATTAATATGTTTTATTGAATAAACGCCTGGTAGGCTCGCGTACATAAATACATAATAAGTTTTTTAACATAAATTAGAAACTGATAAAAAAATAAAATAAAAGGATATAGTATTTAAAAACAATATGAAATAATAAACGATATATCCAAAATTAGAGTAGTACCGCTTTAGGTCTGATAGAAAGAAAAATCATTAAAAAACGACAACAACATAACTGGTGAAATATTTGTAGGTATAGTATATTTCTTCTCTTTGCCAATAAGAACTAATAGTGTGATAAACTTGATGAATTTATTTGGGTTTTTTTTAATTTTATATTTTATTTTACCGTTAAAACTATTTTTTTTTTTTTATGTCTCAGCTAAAACTAATTGTTTTCTACATTTAGAGTTTTTAACGCTAATCATACCAACTATAGTATAAGTAAAATAATTAATTTTGCAGTTTGTCTGTATATTTTTTGAACTTACTGAAGTCTAGCGCAGACAAGTCATTGTGCATATTATTAACACTCAAAAAGTAGTAATAAAACCCAGTTTTTTTCATTTTCAATTCCACGCAGAAGTTTAAAAAATTCATAAACATTTATTGCTTTTAGTCTGGTAGAAATACTTTAATTTTTAATTTTAATTTTTTTGAAAATAATTGCCAATTATTATTGAAACATGAACTGACTGTATTCAAAATCATCCTGACAATTATTTTAAAATAATTTTCTCAATGAGAGTAAAATACAAATATAAAATACATCACTATAAGTTGGATGTTTCCAAAATGTTGTCAAAAAAAAAATATATACAATGAAAACATCTCAAACGATGTAAGGAATTTTTTTTAAAAATATATAATTATTACAATGAAAAATTAACGTTTTCAAAATGTTTAAATGTTTGCTTAGGTATTATCTTTTTTTCCACAATCGCTGAATGGAATTAAGATTGTGTTTTTCTATCACAAAACAAATATTTTAAAACTAAGCTTTAATTTTTGAACCTTTTTTATTAGTCAATGTTAGAAGAACCCAGCTGTCAAGTGTTGATTGAATTTCATAAACTGTTAGTTTTTTGATTTGTCAAAATTGAGTAGGTACATTTTTCATTTCAGTAAACTAAACAAATATTATATTATAATTTGTCCTCATTTTCCTTGCCACATTTATATTTTATTATTCTACTGTGCCATCTTACAAACTTTATTATACTTACTCGGTAAGTAATTGGGTAGGTACACGAGTCTTAAGTACACACATGTCCCCACATAATAAGTAGGGTCGACCACGGTAATTAGTTTACACGGACCCTATTTAAATTCAATTGCGGTACAATGTACTTGTGTGGGATTGAATTAAAAATTACTACATGGAACAAAATATAATTGAGACATCAAAACAAAATATTTTATTAATGGGATGTGATGAGAAAAACAAAAATAATATAATATTTTGGATTTTCTTAGCCGTTGTCTGGCGACAATAGGCAGAGATTATTTTCAAAAAAACCAAATTTCTTCTTTATTAAAGTGCGTTTAGATTTGAAAATTAAACACAAATTCGGCACATTTGATTTATACCAAAGACTAGGTATATACACGACTTATTGCGTTTTACACGGTTTTTTTTTTTTTACAAAAATTAAACCTTGACAATAGGTTTTGTGAGTATATATAGACTTAATTAGGCGGTCTCTACATGATTATTCTGTTTTGTTATATTAATATGATGTACGTTGAATAATAAAATATACACAAGGAGGACAAGTTCTTGTTTTTTTATTTTTTTTTTTACTTCAAGAAGCTCGACGAATACCAAGAGGTACACGATTTAGATTTATTCTGTATTTCTAAATAGTATATTTAAAAGTAAAAAATCTAATTAAATTTTAACGAAAATACCTACAACCCATAAGTAGTGCGTTTTACTTAATTAGTAAAACGCGTTTTCCCTTTCCATTGTCCAGGCACTCGAGTAGAGGTACTCTTGGCTAACAACCGTGAAATATAATATCATTTTTTTTTTTAATGAAGTCAAGTGCGTTAAGGCGATAGTGTGAATAGGAATTCAGAATAATTTCAATAATTGTCACATATTGTTGACCTCTGGCCTCTGTCTGTTGTACAATCTTTTGTATCCTACGCAATTATCGACAAAAAATTATTCTTTATTTGTTTTAAGAGAATACTCTATAAAGCGGTTTAGAGGTGTACACTATTAAGTCAGGTGTATCAATGTATACTTGTACAGAGAGCAGCATACTTCAATCCCCCCTGGGTCGCAGTCTGGAATCATTGAACTTAAGACCTCTTTTTTTTTTTTTAGCAATACTTTGGCAAGTACAACCGAGTAAGCTCTGACCTAAACCTGACAATTATTATTATTTTCCCGAGTTTCTCGGTTTAACATTGCAACTATGTAATGCGATTTCCATTGATTTCGTTAAAAAGTAAAAATCCCAAGACCAAAAAACACTTTCGTTTAAAAAACCATACACTAAACAGCGCCTGCGTGCCCCGTCAAGTGTATAAACACTTATGTGCAGTTGTAAATATTATGTGAAAATGATAATTAAAGTCTGGCCCTCGGCTACAGTAATAATAATAATTGTAAACGCGTTATCTGATCTCGTTAAGATCTATATATTATAAGAAAATATTATGTTGTTCAATGAATGTTTTACATTAAAAAAAAAATCTCTTTGCGCTGTTATTATTTTGTTCCGGTTAGAGCTGTTGTTTTTTTCACTTTTTACCGGCGAAAGCAAACGTTAAAAAAATGATCTACTACTTTGTGTAGTTTAGTCGAATTTATTAGGGAAACAAAATTATGAACACAATTAATCAAATTAAATGTTGGTAAACTATAATGTATGATGATCTACGATACAGCATAAAGCTCACAAGTGTTATGTGTTATGCTATTTACCATAATTGTTTTGTCGCACTTAACTGTCCATTTTTTATATGGTTATTATATTTATACCTATAATTTTACAAAACTAGCAAACACTTGGGCGCATAAAATATTTGATATTTAACGAATTTTGGCTATCGTGCATTTTTATGCTAATTTGTTTAGGAAATAATTGTTTTTAAACTTTAACCGTAACAGTATTGCTTCATATGAATTTAAAGTTAATTTTTTGTCTGGCCCCCTCCCCTTTTTTTCTTAGATCCGCCCCCCGAGTAAGTATAAGTATGTTATATTTTATATTTGAATGCTCAATCTAAGGTATATTATTGAACAAAATTTGGTTACAGTATTAATAAATCAGTTTCCACTCTAGTTTGAGTCTTAGTAAAATTTTGCATAGAGCAAACTTTATACTTTTGCAACACGTTAAACACGCCCTATACCATGTACTTACAGCGGTGATTGTCTTGCAGGTGCGCACTTTAGGGCGGCATGGAAATGGCTGCCGGCATGGAAGTGGTCGGCGGTGCCGGGGCTCATCACCACCATCACCATCACGCGCCGCACCACCGGAGCTGGTACGACACGCCGACCGCGTCGTCGTCGTCGTGCCGCGACGAGCCGCTAGTGGCCGACAACATGTCCGACCACATGAACACGTTCTTCGCGCATCACCACGCCGGCACCCTGGACGGACACCCGGCCGCCCGGGACTATCACCATCACCGGGCCGCGACGGCCGCGGCCGCGTCGCCGTATCACCGGGACTCGCTCACCGTCACCGCGCGGTACTATCACCAACAGATACACTCGCCGTTCGCGCCGCCGCCACCCACCTCGTCGTCGCACGGTAAGTCGATTTTTCATTTTAGTAGTATAATTTTATTGTTATATTATTAACCTAACCAAACCTAACCTAACCAAACCTAACCAAACCAAACCATACCTAACCAAAACCTAACCCTTTCGAGAGGATGAAAATGAAAAACCCTATGACAAATCATTTGCGCGTGACTTGACCCGAAAATCTTAATGTTTACCATAAACACGTCTTAGGTTTTTTTCTTATTCGAAATAAACCCAATCAAACACTTGCAAGTATATACAAAGGTTTTTTTGAAAATTTATTCTGCTTTTTTCCAAACGGTGAGACGGACGCGCATCGTGCACACGAAGGCTTTCCCAAGCGAATTTTACGATTTCCCGCGAACAAAAATACATATATATATATATGTATATAAAAGATAATATATTATTATTATAATGATGATCGCAAAAAAAAATAATAATAAATTATAATAATAAAATATACTTTGGACCGTATAATTCGCTTTATTTTGTTATCTAGCATTTTTTTTTTTTTTTTTAACGACCCGACTCATTAATTATTAATTATAATAAAAAATAATTACCGGACATTGAGTAATTTCAAAATGTGTAGAAAGTGAAACGATCTTACAAGTACTTACGAGTCTCCCTTTTTTTTTTTTATTCTTTTCTTTTTTACTTCGCCCGCTGTTGTTTATCGCGTGGAAAACGCGCATCCTTCGCGTGAGGATTTATTATACCTATACCTAATATTATAATGTATTATACCGCTTTGGTGGTCAGTCATGGACGAGATGGCACAACCGAATATAATATTTTATTATAGCTGTTGTTGTCGGGTACTATAGGTGTATTATTACAATATATTTCGATGGCGCTGGACTGTTTACACCTGGCTGACCACCACCAAACAGAGCGCCACGCGGTGTGTCCTGGTGTGTACCCGGGCGATGATTATTGACCGATGGTGTAAAAAAATAAAAAAATGTGGATAAAAAAATTAATACCCATCTTGTACTATCTTGTTATTATCCATAGTCTTGCCCGATGACCATTGTGTGTAGAGCACAAGAACGTTATCCGTATCCACCGCATAACCGTTCATCACAAAAACCGTATACCAAAATTGTAGTTATTTGAACAGCTTTTTAGCGTTGTTTCTTTCTAAAAAAACAACTCCTTTCGGTCCAGGCATTATATAATACACACAGTGGGCATCAATTATCAATAACGTCCAGCTCGAGCGGTGTTTCGTATAGGCGTTATTATCGTTACCTTATTTTTTTGGTGTTTTAAAAAAATCCTCTCCATAATTATAAACGGCCGTTACACATTTTTCCTTAAAATAAAACAACACCGCGCTGAATCGGTAATTTGTGAGTATATAAAAAAAACCGTATATGTATATTATAACAAACGGTGGGCGGATCCGTCTTGTACCTATAGTGTAGTGTATAATATTATTATGATAATATATGTATTTATATATACCTACTATACATTGGAGAGCGTTACGGTTTGTGTTGAAAAACGAGACTGGGATGGAAAAAACGGAGAACACGCTTTTTTTGACAATTTCAAAATTGACAACGCGTTTGAATAAAATATATTTTATAATAATACCCTAATGGGGGGGGGGGGGGGTGTAAAAATATTTTTTTATTCCAGTGGTATAATAACCGGCTAATTTTTTCTCGGTCTTCCGGTCGGTCAGGCCTCTATATTGTATAATATGCAACGAGCACCGGATACTATATTATGTGTATATTTGATATGTAGGTGGGTAGGTATACGGTGCACGGGTCTCATTAAAATTGGCTCGATAATAAAAAAAATAATACATAATGATAGTACCTACTGTACGACGAATGGTAAAAAAACAACGACAGATAAGAATCTGTCGCCGCGTATTACGGGTAGAGGTACATCCTATAATATGTATAATATAATTCTGGTTATTATTATTATTTTTTTTTTTAAATTACTCATAACACGGTATAGGTGTAGAGAAGCATATTATATTATAGTGGCTAGATTCATAAACACGCGTGTGTAGAAATGCATAATATTTTTTTAATATAAAAACGTCCATATATATATATATATGTATTGATATTACTGTTACTGATATATGCGCTACAAACAGCTAGGCACATATGTCACCGGATACTGTACGCGGTTGATAAATTCAACACAATAGTAATTTTCCACACAATATCAACGCGAGGATAGTGATTTTCATGTGGAAAAGCATGTGAAAAACAGGCACAAGCCAAAAATAGAAAAATTAATTGTTTCTTCCACGACCAAACTCTGGGGTTTTCCAGACTAGAATAGATACTACCTGTAGAAAATCTACGTGCACGATATGTTTACAATAATTTAATAAACGTCGACTCTTAATGGACAATGTCGCTGCCATTATTGGGGACGTCGTCGATTGCGCTTGGCTTTGGTCCTGAATAATAATAATGATTTTGCTCGGACGACGACTGGCTTGAAAGCATCAACCGTATCATAATAAATAGGTATCCACACGAACCTATTTATTTTTTTGACGCAGCCGTTATAACGGCCGTGTATATTAGCATTGCCATCACGGACGTTCGGCGTTTTTGATGTCTCAATTGTGAATGCTGGACGCGGTTTTCCTAAAAAAAAAAATTTTAAAAAACCCACCGCTAGGCCTAATTCAAAATCGCCCGACCCACCAGTCCGGCGACAACCTAACCTTAGGTCTCGACCTAACCTAACCTAACGATTCCCAACGGGGGTATTGCTGTTCATTTGAACCGACACACGGCCCCCTTTCAATGTAAAAGGGCTCGGTTTGTTCGTAGGAATTTTGTATGCCAACCGAAATTATATTACTATAACCTAAACCAAGCTCTAACGGCGCGCGGTGACCGGTTGCATACGGCGTGTGCGTCTATTTTTTTACCTTATTTCGCGGTACATAATAATAATAATAAAAAACAAAGCCGCTCCGAAACGGACGGACCGAAATAACAACATACCTGATAATAATTTTTAAATCGGGCAAGATTTATTTGCCGTTTGTGTCCTCTGCAGTACACACACACACACACACAAAAACAAAAAAAAAAACAAACAAAAAACTATGCGCCGCGCACTTCTGGTTGATTAATCGACCGGTTGTTCCCGAGGGCACGACCAACAGAGTGTCTCACTCGCATACACAAATGGCTCTCTTCCCCGAGTACACCTACTATACCTTTGGGCTGCTCCAGAGACCAGAGCGTTTTGTCGCCATCTAGTCCACACACATAACAGTCTGTATACATTGTATTGTACACACACACACACACACACACATATTATTATTATTATGTACATTCCATACGTCAAGTCGATATCTCGTACCCGCCACTCCGGGGAACATGACGTTTGTACATGTGTGTGTCCTTATTCCTCCACGCTGGTCTGATCGTGACAAACGGTCGTCCAAGAGCCGCACTAGATATCGTGCAACGCGGAAAAGATAACATAATACCGTAACGGTGACGGTGAAACGAAGGAATGGGGGGAAACCGAGTCCATATCTATGATTTAGCCCTCTAAACTTGGGGGAAATAAAACAATTAATTCCAAGCCCGGAAATCGTATAGAATATATATTACATTACACGATACATCCCGCGAGGCATTTTAAAAATATTAATATTTTCAAAATATTTAAATTATTAAGTTTTATGGCAAATGTTTTTTTAAAAAATATTGTTATATTAAATATATATAAAAATGAAAGTATATATTTTGGCTGTCCTTTATGCATCAGTACACCATTCATCCGAATGGGAAATATTTTACTCAGCCCTGGCCAACTAAATCTCGGGCAACGCCGGGTCCGGACGGCTTGTTTTAAATAATATTTAAATATTGTTAAATTGTCTTGAAAACATTTAGTCTCCAAATATTAATTAGACTCGAATATAACGAAAACATACTATACCAAATATTTTATTATAAATATATCCTAAATGTTTTCAAAATATTTTAAAACATTGTGTGATAAACTAAATAAAATATTTTCATTTTCTTCTCATATATTTTATCAATATTTTGAAAAAAATATTTTTTGCTATGTTGGATAAAGCTGTGTATCTAAGTAATCTAACCTAACCTACCCAAACCTAACCAAACCTACCCAAACCTAACCTAACCTACCAAACCTAACCAAACCTAACCTAACTTTGATTCCAACCAATCCAAACGGGATTTTGGTGTTTTGTTTTTACATTTTCCTCAAAAATATTTTACTTACTTTTGTAATGTAAACATATTATTTAACATTTGTGTTATTTCCAAGTGGCTTAAATGGCGTATCGGATTCCCATTCTGTACAGTAAGACAAGTCGATAAAATGCCGTTTCTGGGCATTTGTTGGCGTTTTCCAAAATATACTCTTTGCGTTCATAATGGTATTTTCAACTTGGCCGTTCCATAAAGCCCTATTGTAGTATTATGTTATTGTTGTGTTTTGTAGGTTTATTAAATATTGTTGTTATGCGCTGCCGAAAATAACGACACGGTGGCTAAGTGCAATAATTGGCCGACAGGTCTCGGCCTTCTCGAAAAAAGCGTTCCTTAGACCTTGGACGAGTAATAAATATCAGCTAGTATATATATCATACATGGTATTATTAACGTAGGTACATTGTGTACGTATATACAAGTACCCACTGGAGTACATCTGCCTAATTAACGGTGTTACTCTAGTGAGTAATGTATAATATTAGGTATAGGTACATATTATTTTCCTTTCCAAGGGCACAAGTCGCATATTTTGTATTATTGAAAATAATTATATTACACATTAAAACTACTTCTGTTCAGAGCTTTTCGAGTGGGCTGGACGCAGCTGTTGTTTGTGGAGGTCAGCTTATAAGACACAGGGCTTCGGCGACAAATAATATAATATACGTATAGTATATATATATTATTACATTATGAGTTAAACAATGAGTTGCCGCCGTCGCCGAATAATAATGTAACACTTAGTTATTATACCTAATAAAATATAATATACAACAACGGCAAGAAGAAGAAGGTGGCAACAAGTCGGGTTCGCGCGTCTGGAATGTGTGTTAGGTGGCCCATTGTTGTGATCGTGAGACTGTGCCACCTTTTTGGTCGTTATTTGAATTATAAATCAATTTTGAACGTATACGACACCGGCCGGAAATACCAGTATAATATGTATATATAAGTCTATACGGTCGACCGACCAAAAAACCGCTACCATATCCATCTATGTACACACACACACACACACACACAGGACTTATGCAATATTATTATTGTCTCGGGTCATATGGCCGTTTCAAGTCCAGTCGAATTTTTGTCTAAACACAATACATGCAAAAACATAATATTATGTACCTACTTAAAAACGGTAAAAATTAATTATTTGCCTATTTTTTTCCATTAAAAAAAATATATGTTGTAATTATCCACCGTCGCCATCGCGTGCTGTCCGCATTGTGATTCGCTGTATACTATTATTATTATTATTATTATTATACACACACGGTAGACCAAAGGGCGTAGGCTTCGAAGGCAAGGGAAATACATATTTTTCTGTACACACGGTCACCCCCGTTTACACACACACACACTACTAGTATTGTGTATTGTATTCTTGAATATAATATTAGAAAAAAAAAAAATGTGTTTTTTGTCCTATTGTCGCATACGAGGGAGCGACCAAAAAAAAAAAAACAAAATGGTGGATAATTATCATCATTGCATGATCCGACCGTGTACTCGTTGTATAGTATAATACATGTATTTATATGTCATTATTATTGTTATAATAGTATATTTTTCACAGATATTATACACAATTTCCCGGACGTGTGCGTGAGCGTGTGTGTTAAAAAACCATACAATACATTATTTATATTATGTATATCTGTTTTAAATATTACCAGGAGCTGACCGGCAGACTGTAAATTAGGTATATTCCAAGAGTAGGGGACCCAAAAAAAAGAAAAAGAGACACGGTGTTAGATTTCCACTTTGCTTAGGTCAGGCAAAGAGTAGAATACACTGTGTGTATAAAATAGGTACATCCGTGATTCTCTGTTAACGGCTTGACTTATAATTGTCAAGCAACTTCAATTATTATCTCTATTGGCGGCATGTACACTTCTGGCAATCTGGTTAATCGCGTATAATACACATATCTGTGCGCATAAAAATATTGTTGCCACGTTGTAGCTGCACTCTGGTCGATGAGTAATACCGGTTGGGCTAGTGTTTTTAAGAAGAAATAAATTCGTCAGCCTTTACCTATCTATTTTTGTCTACATCTATGTATCTTATGTGTGTGTGTGTGTGTGTGTATTGGAATATATTTTTTTTAAATATACTATAGGTGTCTGTCCCCGATCACGTGCCGAGCCGTGGATTAATGTTGAACAAGATTCGGCCGCGGTCGCATCCGTCTTATTCGCGCTCCTCGCGTACACCTGTTATTTTATATTATTATATTTTCTTGATTCATAAAACGTTGCACACACACACAAGATAAGATTATAAGAACGTGTGTGGGTGCCGGGGTGTGTGTGATATATTATACGGCCGGTTTGGGTACATGGCTGGGTATTTTTTTTTTTAGGAATTGTTTTTTGTTTTTTATTCACCGTCGCCGTGTGAGCTGCGCAGTGTTGGCGTATACGAGCACAAATACACAGAAATATAATATATATATATATATGTATACAAATTTAAAGGTATATATATAGGTATACTTACATACGCCATACACCGGCGGTAGCTAATTTGACTAATGGACCGAAGCCCCGGGAGTGACGGGCGCGTGTCAAAACAGCTATAAGCGCTCCTTTTTAACATTTTATTTTTATTTATTTTTTATTAAAACTCTTTCCTTTTCCCCTCCCCCGCACAACGACCCAAAGACTCAATTAGTAAATTGACGGGTCAGACGGACACACGTATAATATACTTAGACACCGTCGACGGTTCACGCCGTGTGTGTGTGTTGCACAACACTTAACTATACTTACTTACTTACTCACTCGAGGGGTCAAGTATAATGGAACGAGATCCAAAACACAGCACGTTAATGTGCTAAAAATCAACCGATTGCATTGTGTGCATTTTCAGCGAGGAAACTGAAGACGTCTGAAGAGGGAAACCCTTTGGGGGCAAGGACACACAGAATTTAGACAACGGTTGGCAATATATTTTTTATTACAACAGTCGGCTTTGTCGGTCCATTCAATAGTATAAACGGCTTTTTAATATGTGGCGCATGACCACCACACACTCACACCACAGCGCAACACACATCTTTAATAATAATAATAATAATATTGTTTTTTTTTTTACCAACTTTGATCGCCCATTTCTAGCACGTCCAAAGCAGCGAGTCTTGGTGTGTGTGTAGGAAAGGCGACCTACGAGGAATACCTGGGTACGTGTTGTGCGCAAGGAATCTAATTATTATTATTATCAATGCCATTGACGATACCCCTTGCTCTTCAGAGTGTACACGTCATTAGCGCGACAATAATTATTGTTATCTATTCACCTGCGTCCACGACTTCACCTGTTCGACGACCGCCAGACACACACACACACACACACACGTTTAATAGCCGTCTTGTTTAGGCCCGTTTCGGTTATTTTGCGCCTAAAAATAAGAAAAAATCATATTATGATATAGTATAGTAGTTTTCTATCTGTTTGAAAATTCAAGTTTAAAAATTTGCCACGGTTAACCGGTCGATTATCGAATATCTAATATTCGATTGAAAAACATCATAACTTAAAAATACATACACAGAGCACACTCGTCGGAGGAGTCGGGTTATGCATAAATTATTATCTTGTATTGTTTTTATTATTTTTTTTTTTTTATAGTGTCCGGTTAAACATTATCATGGGAGGAGGTGTTCGTAAATAGGTGTACGTGACGGTCGGCGGATGATAATAATAATTAAAAAAAAAACACATTATATAAAAATCGAATTCGGTCGAAACCGAAATACCGCGCACGCCTTTGCTCCCCCCCCCCCCAATTTTTGAAGTCCATCGCACTCGAGCACGCACAAACCGGCGTAGAGCAATTAATTCGCACAACTACATTGTGTTGGATGTACACAGTCACTATATAAAGGTCTTCTGTCCCGATGGCAGAGATAGCGCACGCTATCTTAGAGTACTCTCGAAAAAGGGCATTTTTCGCCCCCCGAGTGTCACACGGCTGCTGTACCTCTATACACACTTAAATTGATGATTTCATCAACCAACAGCTGCCCCGTGTGTGTGTATCTACACACGGTTAGTGTATACTATTGTCTCTCGTCGGTAAGAAATTGATTAATAAGACCGGTGAAAGAACTGTGTTTGGTTAGCAGGTTAGGTCTAACCTAACCTAACCTAACCTAACCTAACCTAACCTAACCTAACCTAACCAACCTAACCAAACCTAACCAAACCTAACCAAACCTAACCAAACCTAACCTAACCTCAACAATTCGAATTTTCTTTATCCACGATATTAAGCTATATAGTAGGTAAAAATAGATATTTGCATTGCCATGCGCTGACCGTTATTGACACAACACATGTGAACGGCCGACCCAACGGCTGTTTGTTTTTATTACCAATGGTAATTTGATTATTATTGTTTTACTACGGCCAGCGCACTACACTGTATAAACAGAGTAGTGCACGATACGCCTATTATAAAATAGGCAACGTTATGTACCTACCTCTCTATATTTATGAGGTTAGGTATACCGATATTATTATTATTATTATTATTATTTGCTCGGCTTAACCTCGCCGTGTGCCCGTTTGTTGCGCAACAGTTTTGCGAGTGAACGGCTCGGTTTGCCACGATGATGTTAATAAAAATAATGAAATGCGACCGAGAGATAGGAGATAGGAGAGAGAGGTAGATAGGAGGCGGTGGGAGTTTGTCGGTCGTCGTCGTCATAACGCCAAAACGATTGGAAAACAAAACAAAAAACACTCATAACGCAACCGCATAAAATATACTCGTGCATCGATTATGACGTTAATATTATTGAGACAGCCTTCGTTTTCACCGTCTGCAGTTATCGAGGACACGCTCTATTCACTTATCATCACTATGTCTCCGTATCTGCTATCCTGTCCCTTTGGAGAGGTTATCCCAATATAACCCCTTTATTCTTTGGGAATTCACTTTGGCCACCGATCAAATTTAGTTGTAATCTTCAAAACTTACACTTAAAGGAGGATTCGAAGAGAGGGTGACACAAGTTTTGGTTAGGCTCGATCAACGCAAATAGCACTTAAAATCCTTTTAAGTATAGTGTTTGTGTAAAAGTCAACACACAAATATCTCACCCTATAACGAAACTGTAACTCATTTGCCGCGACTGCCGCGTCTCGTTATGTAAATACCGGTTTAATTAGAAAACTACAAGATTGCGTTTTCGTTTTACAGGACCCACGAGGAACATGTGCAGGCCGTCACACTTTTCCCATCCGGCGGCCGCCTGGCTTAACGGCGGCACCAACAGTAACGGAAGCAGTGGCGGCGGTAACCAGCTGCAAGACTCCAAGCTGCAGTCGTCGTCTCCGGGCGGCGGCTGGTTTTCCTCGTCGCCCACCGTGGACGACACGCCGGCCAAAGAACTGCAGCACGGCGGCAACGGCGGCGGCGGAGGTGGAGGAGGAGGAGGAGGCGGCGGCGGCGGCGGCGGTGGACACCCGATGTTCACGTTCCCGCCGACACCGCCCAAAGACAGCACGCCCGACTCGATGACCACGACCACGACGACGGCCACCAGTTCGTCGTCCTCGTCGTCCAGCAGCAGCGCGGCGGCTGCGGCGGCCGCGGCGGCCGCTTACTCGATCGCCTCGATGGGCGTGTTCCTGCACCCGGACAACCACCAGGGATGCGGCGGCCAGGACGTCAAGCCATCGATGCTGTCCGGCGGCGGCGGCGGCGGCGGATCGTCGTCGAAACAGCGCGAAGGTACCACAGCGGCGTCTTCGGCGTCGTCTTCGGGCGGCGGCTCGTCGCCCGGCAGCTCGACGTCGTCCTCGTTTAACGCGTACCACCTAAACCACGGCCAACACGAGCCGGTGGCCGCGGCCGCGGTGCCGCCCTCGTCCTATCACTACCCCTATCACCATCACCATTCGGCCATTGCGCCGGCCGTTTTCTCGCCGGCCAAACACCCCTCGTCCTCATGCCATTCGCCCGGCAACAATGCCATGAAATCCGTCACCAGTTCCTCGTCGTCCAGAAATAAGTCTAGAACGAGCGCCGGTAAGCCCCTCTGTTCAGATAAAAAGCCGCTCGCATCTAACATCAGCTAATTTTCTAACATACATGCCCCGCACATAATCTTATATATGTTATTGTACTAACACCGCTTCACCACTAACTCTTATATTCTAGAACATATTACTTATAATATTTACTTAATTTGTTCTTCTATATTCTTCGCTGTACTTGATAATAATAATAATAATAATACACATACTAACACATTATTATAGTAATAATTAGTGGTGTACAATATTGAATTGATTGAATATGGCACAAAAACAAAGTGCAAAATCACACCTTACCAATGAAAGTGTAACTCAAATGTTGTTTTACACAATCTTATTGCAAAAAAACGACTATTCCGGCCCGACCTAATCTAATATTATTCTGCGCCGACTGCAAATCTGAGCCTCAAATCTGTTTTACAATAATTAACAAGTGTTTTTCTTGGTGTCACGTGTCCGAATCGGTCAAACATGACATATTATCGACTTCCTATTAGCTGTAGACCGCATACTTAACGCGTGTGTCCGTCCGAAGTATTGCAAATATTTTCTTTCTTTTTCCAATTCACAGAACGTACACGGCGCGCCCGTGACATTACCTGACACACTGCCAATAATTAGCGGTCATACGTCATGTACACCTATTTTGATAAACCCTAAAAAATACTTCACCGAAATTCCAATTATTGCCGCCTAATAACCGTACACACGACCAGGTCGTTTGGCCCTCCTCCTCCTCTGCCTCGGCGGAAACACAATAACAACAATAATTACTATTATTCGTCCTGTCCACGCGACGCTAAAGCCCCGCCATGTTTTTTTTTTATAAAATATATTTTTTTTATGCACTTAATAATTAATATTTTTTATTCCAATATGGTTACCGGCCGTCACACGAATTTTCATCGTACAACATGCACTCTACAATATTATATTATCATAGCAACATAATATAATGGCGTTTGGTTGAGGGGTGTTTCGCTTGTATATAATATATATTTACCTCTATAATAATCTACTGACTCTTCACTATTTTGTATACTATCTTCACTTGGACACAGGTGTGTGTTCAGGATTTTATGGCCCACGATCAGTTATCTAAAATGGTGCAACCTAAACTAACTAATGGACGGTTAGGTGTAAGTTGTGCAACTTACTGCAACATAAACAGTGAATATATTATATTTTTATTATTCACTTAAATTACCAACGAATTAGCGGGCCGTGCAATTCTGAACACAACGTATATGTGCTGTGTGATATTAATTGATATGATTTGAATAAATTTCAAACGAAAAGTACGCAACACTGCTAATTGAGGTGCCTAAATGCCAAGGAAACAATGCGTCTTCCGAGCCAATATACAATAAAATGTAATATATTATTGTCTTCGAGTGGAAAACGATAATACAATACCTAAACCGCCGGTGTGAGGTATATGTATAATTTTTTTCCATAATTAAGTACAATAATACTATTATATTATAATGTTGTTTACTACTCGGTGTTGTTGCTTGTATTATAATAACATTGTGTTATTAATTGGGTTAAGTCAGCGCGCATAATGCAAATGTATGGAGAGAATAAACCGACCTCGGTTCGGGAGTTTTGGTCCGAGTAAGTCCTTGGCCCGAGTTTTTTAGTGTGTGCGTGTGAATGTGCCCTAATCCGTTTCCTGTGGAGAAGACATCACCGTAACCGTATACCGCAATTATGCCGCACGCTGTGCCGAGTCGTGGTCGTCGGGCCAAACGCCGCTCGGCTAAATAACACCCAGGACAAAAAAAAAAAAAAAATAAACATAATACGTTATTATATCTGTTTTGGAAAACGAGCAAAGCTTAAAAATTATAACGTTACGACCAAAAAAAAAACCATAATAATAATTGTTGTATCAACAATACAATGGGTTTTCTTCCAAGCCTTATCCGATAGTTGGGTATAACCAAACCTAACCTCACCAACTCTAACCTAACCTAACCAAACCTAACCAAACCTTACCAACTCTAACCTAACCAAACCTAACCAAACCTAACCAAACCTAACCAAACCTAACTAAACTATTTTGGGAGTCAATCGTTGGCTGATCGATACCAAGTTTAACAAGATCAACACATATTTGGTCAATAAATCATTTTCTAAAATCACAATTAGAACAGGACCGACTTTAATCGAAAACCATAACGTACGAGCCTCTGTTCGGCGAAGAGCAAACGTCTTAACGGTACACGCCATAATAATATTGTTACAAAACATAAGCTATATGGCCTCGTGTAAAGGAAACGATAACGGTTATTTGTATTATGTCTTAGGCGTCCTTTATGAAAAATGTTGGAAAAAAAACCAGGCGACTGTTGGCTCGCTGTTAAAAACTCAATTTTCCGATTGACCGGTCAGGATAGCTGCTAGAGATAAGTGTATGTGAAATAATAAGAGGATTGACAACGACAGAGAGGAAGATGGTATACCTATCGTATTATATATCTTTTCTGCGCGACAATAGATGCACAAACCGTGTACGGGGCCGTTTGACAGCGGCTATAATATCTTAACGCGACTACCGGGGACGATCTCCTCCCCCCCCCCCTCAAATTGAAAGACACAATATTATCAAAAAGAAGTAAACGCCAGTCGTATATACATGGGTAGGTACTACACGTCCTATTGTGGACCCGAATTGAATTAGTAGCCGGTGTTATTATTATATATACATAATATGCGCGGCACGGACATTGCCCATACTAGTGGTTTTTTTTTCCACGTTATTTTCCCGGTTTTAAATTATTCCAATGGCCATAGTCTACGGGTAATGATACGCTCTCCGTACGGTCTAATTAGTCTTGGTGAAATTTACATACCTATAGAGGTTTTCTCCTATTGCCCACGCATCACGAACCGAATAGGCGGACACACAACCTGAAGACGTATGCTGCTGCCTTTGTCGTTATTAGTATTATTATTATTTATTTTTTTTTTTTGGTAGCCCGTACCTACTTGGCCGTCGCGAAAAGACTCGAGTGTGTGCGAGAGAGCTGTAGGTACAGGAATAATAATGGAAAAAAAATGTGTGATTATACCACAAGACGGTCATATGTGCTTGGTCGTGATGCCGGTAAGAGATATAATAATAATAACGGACGGGTGTGCGAGTAGGGCTATTAATTTGGATTTATATATATATATATATATGTATGTATATAGGAAACGCACAGCCTACTTAAAACAATAACGTGAAATCGTGTGTGTATGTGTATGTAAATATACACCGGGCAAAAGGGGAAAATAATACGGTTTTGTGATCATACCGTGTATTATAGGAAGAGGTGAGGCCAATAGAGTAGAGGGAATAGGTACTATTATTATTTTTGCTTTCACAATACTGAACGGCGATCTTGGGGCGCGCGCGCGACGTGTGGCTAAACGTTATTCTTTTTCTTTCACCCGATACAAACGGGTACGGTGTAATTAAAAAAAAAAAAATAATAACAATAATACATAGCAATAGTTGTACCGAAGACATTGTTTTTACGCCGTATGATGTCTTCTAAACGTTACAAGGTGCCGAAAAGCGAGGAAGGGGGGGGAGAGGATGTCAGGCTGTGCGATTGTGTGCCTAAACGGTTTTGTGACCCAAGTCAATAATATCTCATAGAGATAACCCTCCGAGATCGTTGACCAGTTAAGCTTACTGAACCGTTATGAAACTCAAGATACATCTAATAGAAAACCATACAATTGTGAGAATTGTTGTTAAATTTTTACAAGAAAAACGTTAAAAGTAAAATCTTAAATTATTCGATCCTTCGTTTAAAACGACTTTAGTGCCTTCAACGAATTACTTTTGGAAACAAATTGATAAACAAAAAAAAACAAAGAGGTTGGTTAGGTTAGGTTTGGTTTGGTTAGGTTTGGTTTGATCAACAATCCCCCCTCTAGTTTTGCGGATAATTAGATAAAAAAAAAAAAAAGGTCAGCTGAAAAAAAGAGGTTATTATTTCAACATTGCTTCAACATTTGTTCTTACAACTTTTAAGTAGTATAATTTAAATACTTCAAAAATGAATCTTAATGTAATATTTTTATGTAAATATATAGTAATTTGTTTACCACAAACCGTTTTGTGTATTAATATTTCCTTGGGGTTTTGGTTTGAAAAAAAATGTGAATTAGGCTACTGGGATGTGTATGATTAATTGTTTTTTTTTTTTTTTTTGGAGATGGTCGAAGAGAACAAACATAGTTCTGCGGTTGAGAGCCAAAGCGGCTGGTGTGTGCAAAAAGTGCAATTTTGAGGAGGTTAGGTGCTTGTTAAGTTTCTCTCCGAGTGAGTACACTTTTTGCACATAATATCAGCGCGACACGTGTAAGAAGTTATAGTCAAGTGAAACCCAAAGGAAGTTAAAAGGCTATTATTTATGCGCGCTGACTTACATTGTTAACGCTTTGTATTATATATATATATATATTATATATTATTGTGATGCTCTGTGGTCGCGGTTCGTTAATTATTATCGTTGATCGTAGATACTTAATGTATACTACTTATAGGGTTTTTTTTTTTTGGAATTTTTTTTTTTTATAATTTAATTATTATGGTGTTGCAGAAGGACGGGAATGCGTGAACTGCGGAGCCACGTCGACTCCATTGTGGAGGAGAGACGGCACCGGACACTACCTGTGTAATGCGTGTGGCCTCTACTATAAAATGAACGGGCAAAACCGGCCTCTGATTAAGCCCAAGAGACGTCTGGTGAGTAATATTATCGGCACCATTGTTTGCTTTTGGCTCGTTATAATATAATATGTGTGCACAATGAAATTATTGTTCTTATATATTAATATATACCTATACCTAACCCGTGCGGATTTTATAGTAGGTACACAACACTATAATATAGTGTCTGTGTGTGTGTGTTTTTTTTTTTTTTTATTGTCTCTGAGAAAACAACCGCGGTAGGTATGGAATTGAAAATAATAATTTAATAAATATTAGAAAAATTCGACGACCTTCCACTTTGTCCCATAAAGAATATAGTGTATACATTTATGTTAAATAGCCCACTCTGTGTGAGTCCTACCTGAAGTCTCTAGCAGTCAATATATTATACCAATAGGGGAAAATGTTATCCATTAAAAGCCACGGCGGTTTTTGACATGATAACAGCTGATAACAACGCAGCTGCCAAACTTCATGGCTCTAGTGGGACTTTACATCTATAAGGTTAGGTCATGTTTTACTAGCACTAGTATTATTCGTTAAAAATATATATTTCCATGACTGATTGATCTTAGCAAGCGCTTTGTGAAGTTGTACTTTTTTTGGAAAATAATTTTTATCAATTATTATATTTTGTTTTTTTGACAATTTTATTGCACAATTGGATAAAAAAAAATGAACGTTTCTACTACCGAATTTCTACTCGCTATAACATATTATGTACATGCATTAAATGGTATATTGATTATTATTTTTTTTAATTCTTTCCCATTCATTTTTTATTATTTTTTTTTTTTTTGGGGGGGGGGAGTGCATTGTATTTAACGTACAGCTGTCATTGCGTCGCGGCGGCCATATTACAAAATACACACGCTTACCCCCCGTAACCTCCCCGGGGGTAAGAGGAGTGAACCGCGGGGGTTTATATTTTTTTCCCCGGTTTTCCCACTCGGTTCGATCCCTTTTTTTGGGGGTAAATAACCGGTCGTTCCGGTCGGGGGCACATTGGTGTATCCTCCCCCTGTTGTGTACTCTGTCGACGGGCCAATCGACTACCGTAACAGCAGCAATAATAATAATAGATTATATTATTGTATGTACAATACACAGCTCACGCACGTTTATATTGTTGTATTATACGATTATCGTTGCCGGCCACCGCTTGTACTTATATTATAATTTGTCTCGGTCCGATGTCACTATTATACCTCTGTACCTACGTAGTATGCCTACAACACACATCATGTATTATTATTATATTGTGTGCTCAGTTTCCTTCCGAATAAGCCCCCCCCCCCCCAAAGGCGCCTATACCAGCCCCTAGGCCCGTCCGGACACTGCTGTGTACTGCACTAAATACATAGCCGGAAACCACAAGACTTGTTCTGAGATGCCAACTCGAAAAAAAGGTTACTTAAACGTGCAACTATGCAAACATTTTGGACCGACTCGATGGCTGTGTATTACGCTGATCACGGCCTATATGATACCTATTCGGTGTTCCTGCGTGTCCCTCGGGACTCGTTGAGCGTGGCTGCTGCTTAATCGACCGACCCCGTTCCAGATTCCAGTGACTTTTTCGTCGGGATCGATACCTCTCTGCCCCTTCACCGTCACACGGTGTATACTTGTACAAGCTGGTAATAAATGCCCGTGTATATTTTTATGTGTACGGGGGACTCGTGTGCGGGAGAGCCTTAATCCGATTTCACCCGGACCACTGGTCCAGACAATTCAATTTCTACGCGGCGCACTGGTCGAACGGCGTGGTGTGTCTTCGGAGTGTGACTTTTCTCGAGATTGAAAAACCCGTGTACATCATACACATAATATATAGGTATATTCAAATCACAATCGGTCCGCGTGCAGCCGTCTAGTCCATTAATTACCGTGTACATTCTGTATAGCGTTCCAATGGCCGAACAGAGATTTTCAGCAAAAGGTTTTCTTCTCCGTTACGGGTTAGGTACGGCGTTCGCTTTTACTTTTTTTTTTTTTCCAAGTTATATTCGACTTTGCACGACTGCGCTTAGCAGAAAACTGTATAATAACAGTAGGTACATTATTATAAACGTGACGGACTTGCCGGAGACGTCCCCTTGCTGCGCCGCGGCGGCCGCGGGTCGGTTAATTAGGGCAAAGCCCTCGCCGTGGAAATAATGCTAAATCCTTGGCACGTCAATCCTTACATGGCGAACAGTGCAACAGTGCACTTCTTCGATACTACTGCTCCACCGTGTATACTCTTTATTATTTTCACTAAGGCCGGCACTCCGTGTTCGTCTTCTTCTGTGTCTTCTGCGTGCGTACGCCCGCTTGTGTGTATGCAAATGCGCGGTTCTTATTTAAAGAAACACACGCGAGGGCCGCTCAAAGAAAACAAAAAACAAATACCCGCCGCCAAAGTACGACGGCGTGTGTGCTCCTTATATATATATATATATATATACCTAAGTACACTATATATATATATATAGTTTGTGTGTGTCGCCGATTGATCCGACAACAGAATGGCAGACACACACACACACATCCTGATAACGCGGCTGACACAACGGTTTACCCCGACAGCGTCTAATTATCATTGAACTCTGCCGCTCGGTCGTTTATTTTCTTTTCTAATGTAGAAATTGTTTTTCTTATTTCTCCCCACCCTGCCCCCCCCCTCCTCGTTTCCTCTGTATATTTAATCGACCGGAAACGAAAAACCAAACTTATCCCGACAACGAAACAGCTGCGCCACAACCGCATTGACTTTGTACTCTCCAAACACACTAAACTGTTTTCAAATCTTGTACTTGCTACATGTAAATATAGGTGATAATTTGACGTTCGACGAGCTCACCTAATTATTGCACTCGACCGGTTCGGTCCTCCATTCTTCGAAAATGATCTTGGGTAGTCGGCCATGGAGATCTTCCAAACCTTCTTGACCGGAGCCCGTTATTTCTAGTTTGGCCCAACGCCGCTCGCTTAAATTATTATTATAATAACACCCAGGACAACAAAATAAACATATTATTACATACCTATTCTGTTTTGGAAACGAGCAAAGTTTAAAAACGATAATATAAGCAACCAAAACAAAACCATACAATAATTGTATCGACAAAACTAACGGATTTTCTTAGGGGGTTTCCAAGCTTTAGCCGATAGTTAAAGTTAGGTACAACCTAACCTAACCAAACTTACCAACTACCTAACCAACCTAACCAAACCTAACCAACTCAACCTACCAACCTAACCAACTAACTACCAACCACCTAACCTAACCTTGTCTGAGCCTTCTCTGTCTCTTTCGACGGTACCACTTCGTCCCATCGTATTTCTGATCTATCTTTCCTGGTGGATTTTGACTCGGTTAGATTTCTGACTGAATCAGAGTCCTAACCACCCCGGACGACCGTTATAAACGCAATCAACTGGGGGAGGGGAGGGATCAGTGACTCAAATTTCCTGTCGTAAAAACCGGTCTCCGACGGGGGTCGCAGCCCTGCGCGGTTCGCCATTTTCGCGCAGGTGACCTACGGGTCCTGTATAGAGGTGAAAAAAAAATAAGCTTCCATATTGTTTACCGTGTTGTGTTATACTCTATAGTGTCCCCCGTGTGTAGAACATCGTAGCCGAGAATAATAATAATTATACTGTGTGTGTGTGTGTGTGTGTGTATACTGTACATGTTGTGTAACGGTTATATGCGTTGTGCGTACCCGGCAACGGCGGGGAATTACACGGAGGGAGGAAGAAGAAGAGGGGCCGTCCGATAAGAATCGCGACGCCCCGCACGCCAGCCGGCGATAGTGTATAGTATAATTCCCGGGGTGGCACCGGGCTACGGGTGGAAGCGGCGACGGCAAAGGGGTGAACACATAAAGGGGTGGAAACTGAACGGAGGGGCCGTAAAAATGTATTTCGCCCCTCCCCGCCGGGGCCCCGACGGTATCGACTGCGCAATTGCCGGCCAAAAACAACCGCGGCGACCCCACGGTTTCCCCGTCCGTGTATACATTCTCCCGGTCTTAACCCTCCCGGTCTTCCCGGTCTTCCCACACGTCCGCAACAATACTCGTCCCTTCCCAGCGTCGGCAGCCGCCCTCCCCTTACCCGGGGACCGCCGGGGGGGGAGAGCCGACGTCGAGCCAAGTTGATAAATGGTCTTCTCGACTTCACCCCCCTCTCCGCCGGCCACCGCGGGCTTACTTTAACCAGTCAAGTTCTCTGCGTGTGCGCCGATGACAAAGCTCCCTTGTTCCGTTATCTCCCCGTAAACGTTCTGCGAATCCCCAGTGATTTATTATCAAAAACTATCCCCCCCCACCCACCCCACCCACTGCCGCCGCCACCCCTGGGCTGTTTTTTTCTTGCCGTCTTCTCTTCCGCTCTGTGAAAAACCGCAGACGTTCGGCTTAAACGTAAGAAAATACCGCATTCGCATCACCGACGACTACTGTGGGTATTATTATATTTTTCAACCCCCCCCCCCCGTTAACTAAAAAATTACCAAGGTTACTGAAAAATGTGATTATTTGAACCGTAAAGAATCAATAACAATCCAATTATCCTGGTAAACGCAATGCACTTGAATAGGATATGAAATTAAAAAAAAACTCAACCCGTGTATGTTCAAGTTGCGGCTCTAGACAAATTTGTTAGGTAGGCGTGTGTTCACACACAAGTATGAATTTATATTGTTATTATTATTATAATCGGTAGCGTTACTTGTTTTGTTTGTTTGTTTGTCCACGGCAAAACATACAACATTACACGTTATAAAGGAAACGACCGGGTTTTTTAAAAATAAAATTTTTATCGTTGTCTTGTGTCGTGTCGTTTTGGAAATATAGCGAACCGTGTGCGCGAAATGCCTGGCAATTTGTTTGGTACCCATTATAGTATTATTGTATATTATTATTATTATATACAGAGTAGCGTGGCATGTGTGTGTGTGTGTGTGTATACAGACTATTATTCAGAGTTTTTCTCTCAGTTTAACTCCTACATAAGGTATATGTATATGTATCTGTACCGCTTCG